TTTCCCCTGGATTCCTGGTTGGCATCAGCCATGTGTGCTGGGACCAGACAGCCTCCAGGCCGTTGCCAGGGCGGCAGGGATGGGAATCGCATCAGCAGCTGCCCAAGAAATCAACCCGCATTTGTCAGCACGAATTCTTAGCAGCTTAACTTGTCAGATTCACAGAGAAACCGTCACCAAATGTTTATGTGCAAATGATGCTGAATTTTGAAATCATGTGGATTATGGGGAATGGGGCCTGACAAGCTGACAGCCTCTGGTTTGTAACAAGGAGGCGCGTCACCGGCTCGGGGCAGAGGATGTTTATTGTTACACATTTCTTAAAGTGTCCGCGCAAAACCTCCCGGTCCCGCTTGAGGCAGCTCTCAGTCCCTGGCCTGCCTTCCCACTGAGCCCCTAATTCCCTTCCTTCCAGCACAGGGTGCTCGCCCTCCATCCCCAGCCCCGACACCGTGACCATAGCCCGCGTTCCTGGCCACCCTCCCCTTCCCCTCGTCCTGCTGCTCCCTGCGCAGCCAATCTGGGCCCATGTTGGGCTCCCATAAACTCTGTTTTTTCCATTCCCGTCCTGGCTCGGAGGCACTGTGTTTCCTGTGCTCATAGGAACAGTACTCTGGTCACAGGACCCAGCTGCTTACACATACCCCATATGCTTCCCCTGCCTCGCACACACGTAAGCGTGGCTCCCACATCCCGGCCCGGCGCGTTGCGTGCGGGGCAGCTCATCCATCTGGGGGCAAGATCCCTTCGCTTGTTTCTCAGGCATCAACTCTCAGTGTCTGTCTGAGCCCCAGCCAGAAATGCTTCGGTGTCAATGGCGACTCCAAAAAAGCTCCGCAAAAAATAAGGGGTGGCTTTAGATCTTATAATGAGATCAACAGAATAATAGCACCAGCTTCCTGCTGGAGCCAGGGTCGCAGGCCGTCTTCCTGGCCTGAGTCAGGCAGGGACCTCCTCTTCCCAGCCTCTGGCCAGTCCACCACCCCCGTGGGCAGTGGGCAGCGATGACAAATCATCCGTGGGCAGCACAGAGAGGGGAGCAGATGGACTTTGGGGTCGAGGCCCACCAGGAAGCTTGGCAAGGAGCAGGAAGCTGGGAGCTGGGAGCTGAGGGAGGGTAGGGGAACACACCATGGGATGTGTGGAAGGCCTGGGGCAGGTCTGAGCTTCACTGTGCTCTGTGTGTGTGTCTCGTTGCAGACGATCCCATCCGTTTGCTCAGGGAAGTGGTTTTGCTGACGGACGACCGGAACCTGCGAGTCAAAGCGCTGACCCGCAACGTGCCGGTGCGGGACATCCCCACCTTCCTCAAGTGGGCTCAGGAGGGCTGAGGGGACCAAGCGGGGCCCAGGGCCCCTGAGCGAGTCACGCAGCCCCTGACGGTGGGAGCCCGGCTCCAGCGGCAGCCTCGCCGCGCCGCCGCCAGCCCACCACGAACAATAAACGCCGCGTCTTCAACCCACCCCAGCATGGCCGTGCTGCGAAGGGCCCCCCGAGGGCAGACCAGCCGGGAAGGTCATTGCTGTGGATGGTTCACGTGGAGGCTGGGCCGTTGAGGGTCCCGCCAGCCTTTGGGCAGTGCCAGCACAGAGCTGGAGAGCCCCGCTGGCGAGGGAAGCTTTGGGTGAGCCCTGTGCTGGATCACCACCAGCCTTTTGCTTGGTTTGCTTGGGTGCAGAGAGCTCGAGTCACGCCTTGGTGGCTCCTTGGGTTTGTAGGCTGCGTAGGGCGGAGATCGGGGACACGCCAGCACAGACTTTGGGATTGCTTAGTCCAGCCTGTGCCCCTTGGAGAGACCGTGGACTTTAAGGGCAGGTTTCCCTCTGCCCCAGCCTGTTTGTCCTGCATGGCCAGACAGCCCCAGGTCCCCATGCCCTTCCCCACCGTGTGCTGCCCCATGCAGGAGTGCTGCTTGCAGAGGGGTTTCTTCTCTCCATGGTGCAGGGTTTGCTTGTTGAGTTTCATTTTTTCAGTGTAGGTTAGTTTTCAGGTGTGTGCCCTTGCCTGCTTTGCTGGGGGAAGCTTTGAACAACCCCACAGCTGCTTTGTCCTGATCCTCTGCCCACCCCAGCCATTACTTGCCCCTTCCCTTCTCCCCCAAACCCCTTAGTCCTACCCTGCTACCTTTAGGCATGCTTTTGACCTAAGTGTGAGGCTAACAAAATTCTCCAAGGACCCCAGGACCAGCTGTCCCACGGGCACTGTGTGTCCTCACATTGCCACAGGCCCCTCTTCCATGTGGGATCTAGCTTCTGCCTATGGCTGCAGTCAGAGAGAACCACAGAAACGCTCAGCCCCAGTGTTTGCCTAGCTGAGAGGGTCCATGGGTGGAGCCATTGCCTCCTCCCTGGGTCATTTTGCACTTGGATTTGGGGTTGGGGTGCTGCTAAGCCTTCCACACCCCACGTTGTCCCATCACCAAGTGTCCCATCCCCAGTGACACACCAGACACAGAAGCTAAGAGGGAGCGTTAACCCCTGAACCAGAGCCCCTGGAGCTCTGTCAAGTCCCGGTCCCATGAGCTGAGGGTGGGAGCAACCACCCAAGGCCACCCCTGGTCCCCGCTGGGGCCGTGGGAGGGAAGTGTCAGAGGTGGCAGAGGAAGCAGCAGGACAGATCCCAGCGTTTTCCTTTCCTGTGTGGGTGGCTCGGAGCCGGTGTCTGCATCAGGAAGCGCAGTTACCCCCGTGCCAGCTGCCCAGCCCCACGGCCAGGGCCAGCAGCAGGGTCAGAGCCTCGGCAGCACGATGGACACGGGGTTGTGCTGGATAACCCATGCCAGGGCGGTGCCCAGCCTGCAGCACCGGGCACAGGGGCTGTGCTGCAGGGCCCACAGAGACTTTGGGGTGCCCACGGCTGCTGTGGGGCACACGGAGCCATCGGCACAGCACCCACGCCCCGGTTCCTTGGCCACAGCCGTGCTGGCCGCCAGCTTTGCAGAGACTTCGCCTTCTCCTCCGTGCCGGGTGTGTTTCAGTGTTTGTTTTCTTACGGTGCTGCCCCAGCGCTGCTTTCCGAGGCCCTTCCCGAGGTACCAGAGGGGCCTGCAGCTCTGCCAGGCGTGTCACGGGCTCAGCCATGGGACAGTTTTGGTGCCACCAGACCAGCTGGCACAACGGCGAGCAGAGCTTGAGCGCCTGGGGCCATCCCTGCCAGGCTGCTGGGAGCCCTTGTCTTGGGGCAGCGCCCACCTTCGGGTTGTTCATTTGGTTTTAATAATTTTTAGTATTAAACATGTGTCAGTGCAGCATGGTGTGTCATTTACTGTCAGTGCATGAGTTGCTGCTGAGGTTGGGGTGGGGGACACCAGGGGGGGACAGCAGTGGGACATGTAAGGATGATGGCAGCTCTGTCCCACCTGCATCTGCTGCTGCCCCCCAGCTGAAGGGGTCTGGGCAAACCAGGTGCACAACAAAACCCTTTGGGTCCCCTCCCTGCAGCTCTGCACCCACAGATGCCCCCCCGGGGGCTCAGCATCAGCCCTACACCAGCCAGGCCCTTCCCCAGAGAAGAACGCGAAGCCAGGAGTGTTAATGTCACTTTATTGCTCATTCCGTTTCGACTATAGAAAAAAAAAGGGCGAGAAGCCCGTGTACAAATTGGACGTGATACAGGGGGGGCCGGGGCCCCGCTGGGCGCTGCCAGCTGTGCTTCGGGTGCTGCCACCGCCGCCAGTCACCCCACGGCAGCTCCGGGGGACACCGCCGGCCCTGGGGGACCGGGACAGCCCCGGGATGCTCGGGGGGCAGCTGGGCAGGAGCGGCCAGCTCAGGCTAAGGCACAGTGGCTGCGAGGCCGGGGGCAGTCGCTGCTGGCGGCCGCCCGGAGCCTCGTGTGCAAAGGAGAGGAGGGGGCTCAGGATGGGGAGAAGCTTCACATTAGCCCCAACGGAGGGGTCAGGGCACGGGCCGGGGGGGTCCAGGCTGGGGGGACTTTGCCCACACCGAGCAGAAGGTGGGAGGGGGTGCGGCGGTGGCAGAAGGTGCCCGGGGGGAACTCGGCCCCAGGTCACCTGCACCCCCTGGGATCTGCCCCACAGCCCCCTCCCGCAGCCCCTGCCCACCTCCCGTAGCTGACAAACCAGAGACCGCTTTGTCTTTGTCGTGGACCCCCCGGCCCGGCCCGGCCGCGCTGGAGACGGGCGTCTTTGGCAAAAAATAAAAAAATAAAAAATGAATCAAGGCCGAGTGGCCGCCCGAAGGCGAATCCGCCGGGTCCGGGGGCTGGCCCGGGTGCCCCGGGCATCCCTGATGGCGAAGCAGGGCCCAAGGGCTCAGTCTGGGACAGGCCCTGTCCCACCTCTCAAAAACACGGGGAGCAGCCGACTGAGCCCCTGCGCTCGGGACGGGAGGTCAGTGCTTGTTCCGGGGCGAGGAGCATCGCTATCGCCCGGCCTCCCCAGCACGGACGTGACCGCCGCTCCCCCGTCCCTTGCCTGCCGCTCAGACCCCACCGTCCCCCTCGCTCAGTCCGTCCCCGAGCCCCCGGCGCGGCCCGGGGGCTGCCCGGGCACAGACCCCCGGCACCGGCCACGACGGACGCGCTACTCACGGCCCGCGGCGGTCGGGGAGGCACAGTCCGGGTCCCGTGGCGGCCAAGCCGAGCGCCGGCGGGTCCCACCGCGG